CTTCCCGGTCTACCAAGGACCCGGCCTGCTGCGACCGGGTAGTCTGGGTCCTTCGGAGGACCCAGCCTGTCATTTTGGACACAGCCTGTATCTTGATGTGTGTTTGTTTTTCAATATCATTAGCATCACAAGATTTGTTTAGTTTACACGTCCGTAATGCACACCCCCCTTTTTTGTGAACCACCAATAACCTTTACAAGAGGCAGTAACTTCCAGTGGTGGGCAGCACTAATCCAAAAATTAGCCCCGCAATTTCTAAAGCGCTTATGAAAATATTTAGGTCCGCAACTTCAGAAACGCATTTATCATAGAAAAATTAGCAGAAGCTAATTTTAAAGCACAGGTTCAATTTGACACTTATTAGCTGAAAATTCATGTACAATATATGTACAACACTGCCAACTTTTGGTGTATGATCTCTTGTGCAGCTTAATCTTACAACCGCTGATTGCTGGGGATGTGATTTCCTGAAACAGACCTTTAGCTCCTGGTGTAAAAATTAAAAGTTGTTGAGGATTGCTAGTTCGGCTGCTTCTTTGTCTTTTTTTTTTTGTTTGTTTGTTGTCGATTTTTCATTAACGAAGCATCAATAAAGTAATTTTAAAACTGCTTATTGGAAAACTGAAGTGATGCATTCTGGGTACATGACGGATTTGATTTGTGACGGGAAACGAAAGCACAAGGAACAGGAAACTAGTATCTTCTCTTCAAAATAAGAGCTTGGGTTTTAACGTTTTTCATGTTTCCATTGGATAAAGTTTTCCAGTTCACCTGAAACTCTCAGACTGAAGAAGTCTCTTGGAGGAGAGACTGTAGTTGTAATGTTAGTTTACTCATATTTTGCTATCTGGGATTTTTACCACCGTTTTAATATATTCTCTGTAGTACTAGCAGTTTGGACTGCAGTATGTTTCACTGGATGCATGGAAACACTGCATCATTGCATCTGCGTTCCCTCTGATCTGTGGGTTTGGACCCCTAATTAATTCAATAATAGCTTCATATCCTCATATCTTCCCTCACAATTAAATAGCCGCTGTTTTAAGTCAGTCTGTGTTGTGATTTATGCAAAACAATGCTAACTGACATTGAGTCAAGAGGGATGCCAGAACAAACCATGGTATAGATGGAGCTGGGTCCCAGCCAAGCAAAGCTGATTAGGAGACAAATGACACACTGAGTTGACCTAAAACAAAGAAAGCTGAACAAAACAATTCTAGCAAAGCCTTAAAATAACTTGCTAAGCTGAAGTGACTTCTTAATCTCACTTTTGCTGCAATTATAACAGAAAAAAATGAATGTTATTCCTTATTTTTTCATTACTCGTGCAAGTGTCAGTAGATACCTCCTCGCCTCAGCCCATCAGGCAGGTCTTATCAAAAACTTTTTCACAGCTGCGTGATTGACTGTAAATG